ACATAAGCAGCAAATCCTCACAAATGACAAGATGGAACTGTGAAGTGTTTGACAAATCATTAAACGATTAACAAAGTTTACTAATTGCTGCAGCTCTGAACTTAGTGCTAAGTTAAAACAAATGCAAAATATATAGAGCAATTAATTGATTAATCAACAGCATGTTAATCATCAGCTATTTTGATAATGGATTTACGTTTAATTAATTTTCTGAGATTTTATTAACCATATTAGTACGGGCAATGAAAACAATTATTCGTTGCAGGCCTAAAAATATGTATCTGAATGTTTTTAAAACACATTTATTTTATGCCTTTTCTGTAGATGCTCATTTAGGTAGTCAACTGTAGTTACAAGAGAAAAACATTATTTTGTAGTAACAGGTACTGTATCCATACCAAGTTAGCAAAGTGATACATAATGATTGGTATGTAATGAATATCTTCAATATGTGTTGTAACTGGGGTTTAACCTTAAATGACACTGACCTTAAAAACTTTACCTTTAAACATTAAAAAGTAGAGTAAGTATGTTGCTCTTATAACTAATTAATTCGCTAAAAAAAGTACTTAATTTAGAGAGAAAGTCTCAACACATAATTTCAAAAAGCAGTGCACATTGCAAACTATGTTCAGAACAAACACACATCAACTCATGAAAATGCAGACAGATAAATCAGCTGGTTAACTTAGCATGCTTATAAATCCAAGCTTATGTAATGAGGAAAAATTTTGCACCTTCTTCTTTTATTTTTTTTTAATTTATCTATTTTTTTTTTTTTTTTTTAAAAATCAGCAAGTTTTGTTTGGTTAAATTTTGGTATTGAAATACTGAAGGTCAAAACCCTGGTATTTTGATAATACACCCAGAGGACCTGCACAGTCAGGGTGGGGGACAGCGCTGCAGGCTCAGGTGTTGCCATGAAGTCTCAAAGGGAGAAACCTTCATCACCATTCACAACAAGCTGACAAATGTACCTGCCTCTGTCAAAATGCATCTCCTGATTCAGCCTAGATGTCTCAAGCTGATATCGACACAAACACAGGTATAATTGCACGTGAGACTTGATTCCCACCTGAACTTGATGACTACTCATCTACAGCTATCACGACTGTGTCACACCATCTAGACAAGCGAGGCCTCTATTGTGTTTGAGTGTTTTCATCTGCTGTTTTAACCACAAGAAATGAATTTCAAGCAGAAATTTAAACATATTGTTGATATGAATGAGTAAACCTACTACATATGGTTACTGTACCAGCAATTTGAATTGAGTATTACTTTAACTTATGGGAATTAGTCTGTGATTCTATCCTTTGTTCCCTGCAGCAAAATGAGATTGAAAATGCTAGAGGAATGTAACTAAGTTAAAAAAGAAATTAAAATATTTATAGGTATATTCACTTATCACTCCAATAATGAATATGCATAAATCCGACGGTGACCACTGGTACAAGAGATTAATTAGCTACTGTTTTGTTAACTGCGAGAATACACAAAGATACTGGTGTTGAAAGTCTTCACAGTGGGATGGAGGAGTTTGCCTGAGCAGGTAAAAAAACAAAAATGTTCTCTGGAAGCATGAAAGATGGAGCAGGTCTGAGAATACATGGCAACACAAACTGCAGCAGATGGTGCGCCTTTGCAAGTTGAATTTCCATTTTTTGGAGACACCAAAAGACTGTTAAGCTTGTTCTCTGTGAATAACAATGTGTGGACTTTCAAAGACAATTTTTGATTACACACAATCATATCTGACAGTAGTAGTAAAGAAAATTGTATACAAGGACAGAATTATTTTGCTAGTTGCCTTTAGTAGCATCATAAAATCTAAAGTTACTATATGTAAGAATGCCAAAGAATTTACATGTATTAATCACTTTTCCATTGCCACGGATTGTGAACTGATTGAGCATCATTTCAGGAATGAGGCCTTTCCTGACTTCCTTGTTTGCCATCTCAAAAAAACTTAACATTGTGATACTATAGTCTCATAACTATCTATCTCCACACTTCATTTTAGTGCTATGTCAGTGTTGTCAAATATAGTCTACAGACTCAAACGTAGTTTATTGTCAGACTGTAATAAAATTGTAACTTCAGTTACCTCATCTATCAACATGATAAATATGCTACGATCAATCAGTTTCAGTCTTGTGAATGTCACATCAGTGTTTTGCCCAATGCCCAGGATGCTGACTCAACGCCTAGCTACGGAGTACAAGTATTCATGCAAGCAACAGGATGCAGTTCACATAATGGCTACCAGTGTCTTTTTTTGAATGTTACACATAAAACCTTTAACCTCAATTAAGTGTTGTAATTTAAAATGTGATTACATCTTAAATTATACTCTCTCTCTCTCTCTCTCTCTCTCTCTCTCTCTCTCTCTCTCAAACACCCGTTTGGCTGGTGGAAATTCGGAGTCACTTGTTATTTTTGCATTTTGATAAAACATGTTGATTTGTGGAGACTCTTACTAACTCATTACGTGCATTTCTGACTAATTTTCTTAATAAAGAAGAACTCATTGCTATAAATTCATTGGATGTCTGCTGAACTGATCCAGAGTGACGCAAACTTTATAAAGTTGTCCCACAAAAGACAACGTCCCTTTGTGTTATTGAGTGCAACTGTGAGGTTCAAACAAGAAAATGTGACAATGCAATGCCTCAATGCAAACAATTATTTTGTTCATGATTATTGTCACACACAGACCCAATATTCCTAGGACGTGAGAAAACAATCCTCTGAAATAAAAATTAGTATCACTGTTTTATGGGAAGTGATGGTCCTTTAACAGACTGGCAGTAAAAGACCACAGCATTCAAATAAGGTCAGCGCCGACAGTAACAAATGATGGAATATTTCTATTGGATGTGTCAACAAAAGGTGAAATAAATATTTGAAATGAAAAGGAAATGTTCATCCCCTTCTGTATGTGGTCTTTTACGCTCTGGCTATACAAGCTAATTTTGTTTTTAAAACAACAGTTAATTTGATACTCAAAACAGACCATATCAGTAACGAGTATCGCCCTCACAAACTGAGGCAGTTTAAATGTTACGGTAATGTGTGAGCAGGAACAACTAACCTCTAGCGAGGTATAAGGCTTCAAGGGATTTTTAATGTATTATCAAGGGACAACTCTTTGCTCCACTGAAAACAGCTAGGAGCTGAATTCTTACTATTCAAATTTCCTTTAACTGTATTACTAGCAGTTATGTTATTACTGTTATTTGTTTTCCTCTTTCTCCTGAAAATCACAATGGATAGTGTGCACTGTGCACCGCTGGATTTCTCTTGATGAGACTACAAATACAGCTTTGTGTGGCTTTAACAAATGTGTTAATATTCACAGGCATATTCATTCAGTTTAGGCAATTTCCCTCTAAATAAGATTTATGTTGTAAATGGATTTATAGTTATAGATGAGGATAATTACCCTGCTCCGAAGGTAGTCTGCAAGGTTCTTTCGTGTGAAGTTTGCTGCTGCTGCTGGACTGAGTTCGTATCCTAAGAATAGGAAGGAGAAAAAAAAAGACATTAGACACAAAGTTGTGCATGTGTGCTTTTTTTTTTTTTAGGAAAGGTATTTTTCCTCACAATATGACATTTTATCAATGACTAGGGAAAGGCATTAAGTCTTCATACTTTTTTTGTAGTGTCAAAAATGCATCTGTAGCACCACAAACCAAAGTACCAATAGTTTGCATCGCTGATCAGATTTGTATTATCTTATGTAATTCAGATAGCTCCTGATTTAAATGAAAATTTGTATTTTATTTAGACTGTTTGTACAAGTGTACAATGTACAAGTTTGGCACTTACTTCTTTAGTTAAATAACAACTGTTTTCAACAAAAAAATATACATATTCCTCAAAATAATATATCAGAACAAGTATAGTTTGATCAATGGTACCAAAAAATTGGTAATGAATGGGAACCTGTATTTATAACTGTCATACAACACCCAGTGGTGTTAAAGACAAGTCACTTAAGAGTTGAACTGGAGATTGTGTGGCATAATCATCATGTCTGAAGTCCTTACCGTTCCTCATTTTATAGAGCTGAACATTCTTCTGGATGTACTCTGCAAACTGTACTGTGTCTCCTGCTTCTCCAACACATAGCAGCAAGATCTTCTCACTGAGTTTGAACATCTTGTCATAATCTGAAAAACACAGAGCACGAAATATGACTCATTAATTTGCTTTAATTCATTATTAAAATGTGCATTTAACTGTCAGATTGGGAAACGTTAATTCAGCAATGACTTTCACTTTCACTGTTACAAGCCTGTTTGATCATCTTGATTTACACGAAGAAAAGACTTGCTCAACCCAAAGCAATACGTGCCGATGGCTTTAGTTGTGTTGCTATAAATCATGGAAAGAAAAAATGTCCAAATTTTGCAAAAAAACAGAATGATAGAGATTTATGTGCCACTTTACTTAGCCCCAGTTAGCTTTGTTAGCTCAAGTCACATTCAGATTGTGTGGTAACGTTACATTGTGAGTCTTTACGTGAAGTTACACAACAGTACACTGCTACAAGAGGAAGTTTTAGTGATTATTCGTCAGCAGAAAAGAATAAGATATAACCACAGCAAGAGCTAATAAAGCAGGCATGTGTGTGCTAATTTAGCTTCAGTTACCGGCTGAATGGCTAATGCTAAGCTAACGCGTTGTCATACCGTGTTTCATCTGAATGATGCTGCTGGCTGCGACATTATCGGCAGCGACGAGGACAAAATCCGGCCCCTGAATGCCGATCAAATATTCCATCCCGAATATTAGCTGTGAGTTGATGTACTATAAAATACTTTGAAACAGCAGGTGCCTCTTGGCCGCGGATGCACAGATTACACAGCAAAAGTTTGAGACGATTGACGCAGGCTGAGTACGTCACCGGAAAACACGCTTTCGTCCTTTCTACGCGACGAGGGCGGGCGATTTGAGCGGACTCACTGAGACCGAAAAACCATCACCGCTTTATTTCAAAATAGACACGACAAGAATCGATCGTTTTCCCGGTTGAAGGTTAGTATGAACGAAGGGACGCCTCAAAGCGTAATGTCGGAGTCTAATAAGCTCAACGGCTCGCTGCGGAGACGGTCACCGCGGTTGAGTTCTCCTTCTCAGGCTAACATACAAACAGACAAAAAAATGGCGACGGTGGCTGTCTGCGTTAAACGCTCCATAACTGTGAGGAAAATAGCTCCCAGAAAAACAGTCGCACCGTCGGAGCATAACAAGGAGAACACGCCGAGACGGTCGGGATCGGAAGGCGACCAGCAGAAAAAGCAGGAGGTCTCCACTCCAGGTCCAGCCCCGGACTGTGGTGGCTCCTCCTCGGCCAAGAAGAAGAAGAAGAAGGCCGCTATGCCCTCACCGATCCTCCCATCCTCACCGCCGCCCTCTCGTCCCCAGGGGCCGGCGGTTGATCCAGAGGACGCGGTGTGGTCGCAAAAAGTGCGCCGGTCCTACAGCAGGCTCAGCGACAACTCGTTGAGCAGCCCTGACTCCCGTGAGACTTTATTTGGCTTTGAGAAGCTGCAGACCCCCGAGGTGGTCCATAGAGTCCGGCCACCCAAGAGAGGTCTGGAGGCCTTAGGGTCCTTGTCTTGTCTGAACTCTTTCACGTCTTTGCTCGAGGCGGATGACCGTGGTTCAGCTTTCCCCGAGCCGGACCCAAACATCCCTGGAGTGGCTGTGGTGAGGGAGAAGAAGAGGAGGAAGAAGGTCCAGCAGATAGACACCATAGAGCTGGACACACTGGCTGCAGAGATGAACGCAATGTTTGAGGAGGCAGAAGAGTTTGAGCTGGTCGTGGAGTAAAATACTGAGACTGAAAGTCTTGGACAGATTGAAGGACTCTCTTATGGCATGCTGTTTCTGTCAATGACGTGCTGAAAAAACACTGACTCCTGGTTTGCTTCATACTCAAAAAGAAAAGCTTTCGTATATTTCAAGTTGTAAATGTTGATTCTTTGGAGGTTCTTATGTTTGGTTGTTCATTTAAATGCTCTTAATGTGGTTGATTTGCTCTTTATGTGGATAGTATGGTCACACATAGGTATTGTTTTGATTTAAAAATGTCCAGTAGACAAGTAAACCAAAAGCATGTTCTTTCTTTTTGTTATAATTAAAACCTTTTATATAGATTATCTTTTAGAACTGAAATGATTAATCAATCAGTCATCTGACAGAAAAATAATTGGCAACTATTTTATTAATTGATTCATCATTTCAGTCGTTTTCAAGGAAAAACAAGTTTTAAAAATGCCAAATATTCTCTGAATAGGATGATTTGCTGCTTTTTGATATATATATCACATCAGATCATTATAAACTGAGTATTTTGGGGTTTAAAGAAATTTAAAGGTGTCACACTTTGGCTCTGCATGATGGTCATTTCTTTTTGACATTTCCTAGACTGAAAAAGTAGTCAAAACATAATCGGAAGATTGATTGATAATGGAAATAATCGTTACCTTTACCTTTTGCTTGTCTTGCTGACTTGGTATGATAAAATAGCATTTTGTTTGTTTTTATTAAATGGGCTTTGACTGTGTTAATTGACTTCACTTATTCATCACAAACTGGTTGTGCATAAAATACATAGAGGGAAAACGTGACGTTTGCAGGACTGGTATGATCTGGATGCTTCACAGACAATTCTTTATCAGGAGTTTCTACCCTTATACGTTGAAATGGAATTTTGTTTCTCTTCATTGTTCGTTTTATTTAAATTGCTGAAAAACAACATAAATGTCAGTAGCCATTCAGAGGTCTCCAACCAGCTTACATCACTTTAATTATGTGTTTACATTCACATTTGACTTACTCAGAAATCCAGAATAACACTGTAAAACAGTGCCTTTCAGTGTTGTTGTTGGGCTGTCATCACACATCTGTGTTTTCATAAGCATAAAAGAAAACCTGTCATGGTTTTTTTTTTGACTGTACATGTAAATAAATACTCAATTAAAATTGCCAATAGATATTTTGAGATTTTGTCCTGTTTTCTTTTAAAAAAACACACATTCAAAAACACAGTCATAGGATTTAGAATTTCTCGTAGCCTTCATAAAAAGGAGTCCAAAACAGCCAGTTATTTGTGCAATCTGGGCCTAACAGCATTACCATCTGAGCGGAGGGTTGGAATTTAAAATCAGAAACTCAAGTTATTTCTAAGGCTACACGATGACACCAGTTTGGAGACAATGCCATTAAAAACCCACCTCTATAATTAGCCAAAAGTAAACTGAGCTTTGAAATGCGTTTGTTGAGCTGAGGTTTTTGGGGGATGACGGCACTCATTACTAACCATGTTAATTTGACTGGGGTCTAATAAGGTAGTAGCCAAGCATGATGACTAACAACACATTCCTATACACAGCAGTGGTCTCCAGTGACTGATGAGGCAGACTGAATGAAGGAGTGGGTGGGCGATCTGTCTGGATTTAATGAGGATGGTGGACAGGTAAAAACATTTTCCTCCAGAGTCTCATAAAGGTCTAAGTGGGTGTTGTTGTAATTTACACTAACAAGGAGGGATGCTGTCTGCTGTCACGCCTGCTTCTAACTGGTGCTTCTCTCTTAAATAAACTAGTCTGTGTGGGGTCATGAGTTGTTTGACTCTAGATAATTAATTATTTAAATACATTTGCAGCTGATTAACAAAACAGGTGACACATTAAAGGAAAAATTTGAATAAAAGATTGGAAAAACATCAAGTACAGATGCTTCTACACAGACCACAGAGTCACCAGATGGTTAAATGAGTATGGAAATGCTCTTTACCACCATCATCAAAACACCAGGTTAGGCAATATCTTATAGAAGAAGTCCATCCCTCCTGTAGAGGCCCAGCACCTTATTTAGACACTTTGCTGTTTTTGCCTTTAATTTATAACCCAACTGTAAATGTTAAAAACCAGGCAGGTTAATTGATTCATTATTTGCTCACGGGTCTGAGATTTTCAACAGTACAGAGTCCATTTTTTCAATTCTTTTTATTAAATCATGTGAGGATTGTCAAGGGACAGCAGCAACAAAGGCCTGGGTATTGAATCTCAGTATTTGGGGTTAGGGTTTTGGTTGTATAAAAAATTTCAGTAGTAAAGTATCATAAAGTATCAAATGCTCTTCTTTATTTTAGTTGGACCATTACTGACTTAAGTAATGTTTTAATAATTAGATGTTCTACTTCTTTATTGAGGTTAACATTCTGGTAAGGCTAGTTGGGTTTAGACAACATTTAACACTTTGGTTTCTGATAAATGAAAAAGGGGTTTTGTAGGAAAAATTTATACAAAATAAGGTAAAAAATAAATAAATAAATAAATAAAAGTTTTGATATATCTAATAAAACGCAGCAGAGAGTTGAAAATTTTCAGGCAATACCCAGCCTGAGCAGCAACTGAATTATTTCTATTTACTGTCAATGGATTCTGTCTCCGTGATTAAAAGAGGAAAACTTTGAGAGACACTTGGTTCATGCTGGAGTTGAAGTTTGCGTATACTCATGTTAATATGTATTCAGTGCACCACTTCATACTGTAAAAATCACGATGCTCCTTATCCAAGTTACAAGTTACAACCATTGACAAGATCAACCCCCTCGGGGGCCCCAGGGCAAAATATTGTTGTTGGGCACCTCTTGACCTCCACTATGGCAACTTCATTAATTCCCTTGGTGCCCGAAAAACACACCAGAAGATTAAATAGTTGATTAGATGATTGGCAGAAAAGTAATTGCCAACTATTTTGGTCGCTGATTTATTGTTTAAGTCCATGTTTTATTTAAAAATGCCAAAATTTGTCTGGTATCAGCTTTGAAAATGTGAACTTTTTTCTTCCTCTCAGTTTTCTATTATAGCAAACTTAATATCCTTCAGATTGGCATTTTATACACTGAAACAATCAATCAGTTATCAAAGAAAATGCTGATATGAACATAATTAACATTCTCCTATGATGAAATAATTCTACTTTACCCAAGGTTTTCTTTCTGTTGATTTGGTAAACACAAAAGGCAATTTGATAAAACAACAAATCCATGTAAACTAAACTTATAATAAACAATATAACTGAAACAAAAAAAGGGTCTTTAAGCTAGATTTCAACACAGCAGGGCCAAAAAGATGGAGGATGGAGTCCCCGTCATAGCTGAAATTGTACTTTAGTGTTGCAAATGTGTAACAAATCTTTGATTAATCAGATTATGTAGACCCAAATGATGTGGAGTAAACCTGGGACTTTTGGGACCCCCGGGTGTCTGCGGCTCCTGGGCATTTGGTAATCCAGCCCAATGCTGTTGATAAAGACAGAACTGGCACAGCTTTCACTGCAATGCATTATCAGGTGGAATCATAATAAATAAACCCTGAAGATCTCTATTTAAATATAAGTGATCCACACTGTTGCAGAGGATGCTGACAAGTACATCATCTCCACCTGTTATACCTACCTTGAAACAAAAAAAAAAGCAGCCATGAATAAGGTATGAAGTTAGATGTTTACCTCTGCTTAGAGCACGACGGCACGCTGATAGTATTTGTGAGTGTGTATGAGAACGAGACGCGTAGAGAAATAATGAGTGTGTGTGAGTGTGTGTAGTAGTGAACGAGTAAATCCACAATTTGCTCACGCATTTTAGGGTGTGCAAAGCGTGCTCTGTTTTCTTCCGCAGGTGCCATTTCATCTTCATACTCTTCATTTGGCATCTCAGCTCCCTAGGTTGCTTTCAGCACAACACATGGTGGCATGCCTTTTGTATATTTTTAACAAGGTATTCATGTCTACTTTACACTTCCACTGAAAGTTACAAACAGAGTGAAGGAGGAGGGTGTTTTTTTTTTGAGCTGTCACTGCCAGAAACAGTTATTGATTTACAATGCTGCTGCTGCTGCTGCTTTTTCTTTGGAGTCTGTTCATTTTTTTGGGGAGGTTGGATATTTTACACTCATATTCATGTGTTTTTTTTTTTTTTTTCTACCCATCTCTCCCTCTGCTCCCCCCCCCCCCCCCCCCCCCCCCCCAGGTCCCCTCCCACACATACACATACCCCCCCACCACCACCCACCACATTTCACTCACGGCAGTTGTCGCTGGTTCAGCTTGACTGCTTCGTTAGGGCTCATCATTTGCATTCAGATTAATTATCTAATTACCGACAAATGTCCGGCGGCCACCCCACACTCCGGCTCGTCAGCTCTCAGCCTGTAATTATTTTAATCATTTACTTTCATCTGGAGCGTTCCTGCCATACTCCTGTGTTTAGAGGCCATTCTTAATTACCCTGCCAAGACACTCTTTTCATGAGAGGGAGGAGAGGGAGGAGAGGGGTTGGTTTGAGGGAGAGAACAGAGCAATTGGGTGAGGGAACGTGTGTGTGTGTGTGTGTGTGTGTGTGTGTGTGTGTGAAAGAGAAAGACCAATGGGGACATGATCCAGAGGCTTTGACAGCACAGAGGAAGCTCCCTGCACTGCTGGATGCTCTTTCCTCTCTCTTCTTCTTTTTTCTCTCTCTCTCTCTCTCATCATCTCTCTCTCTCTCTTCTCTCTTCCCATCCACCCCCACCCCCTTTACCCCTCCCTCCCCTCCCTCCACCTCCCCCAACCAACTTCGCTCATCTCTCCTCTCAACCCCCCCACCCCCACCACCCCATCCCTCCCCAACTCCCCCGCTCCCTCCTCCACGCCCCGCTTCCACCGTTATACTTCCTCCCTTTTTCCCTTTATCGCGAGCACACACAGGAATCGCCCGTGGGCTTCAGTGCTCTGACTGCTAATACACTGACACACACACACACACTTACACACACTTGCACACACACAACACACAGAAACAGGCAGACAAGAGAGTCATGCGCCCTGTTTGTGGCACTCATCACGATGCACACACACACACACACACACACACACACACACACATCTTTCCACTATCTGCCTGGAAAATCTATACTCCTCTCAGCTCGTCTGTCTGTTTCTGTCTCTTCCCTCTGTCTCCCACCATCCCTCCATCCATCAGACCTGCATGGCTGCACTCTACATATCTATCTGCTGCCTGTCTTTCTCTTTCCATCTCCCTTTCCTTTTTCATCCCTGTATTTGGACAGCCTCGCATCAGGACCACTGCTCCATGTCCTCGATGAGGGGACAGGGGGTCATCTCCCTCTCTCTCTCTCCCTCAGTCTCTCTCTCTCTCTCTCTCTCTCTCTCTCTCTCTCTCTCTCCCC